AAAAAAAAAAAAAAAAGAATCCTGTCTAGCTTCCAAGACCTAAGTAAAGAAAAAATAAAAATATCATAAACAGGTATCCTGCTATCCCAGAGTTAAAGTTTTAGTAACAATTGTACCAATATGAAACTCACCTCAGATGCTGTGGGTCTCTTGATTCCAGATGCTTCTTTAAACAAACAAAAAAAAACCACACAATCATAAGAACATATACACATACTCACATGATCTCTATCAAGCACACTGAAAGCATCAGAGTTTGAATCAAACTAAACATGAGTATAAACTCCTGCCTCTTGCTCAGTGATACCAGATATTTTTGGATAGCACTTTATATGTCCCTCCCTCCTCCTCCATACTCACAGAGGCCTCGTGCATGTTTCATTTTTGTTCTAGCCTCCTTTCTTACTCAAGTATTCATATTTTCTCTGGGAAATATAACTCTTTCTTTTTTCTTTTTGAGATGGAGTCTCACTCTGTTGCCCAGGCTGGAGTGCAGTGCATGATCTCAGCTTACTGCAACCTCCACCTCCCGGATTCTCCTGCCTCAGCCTCCCAAGTAGCTGGGATTATAGGCGCCTGCCACCATGTCAGGCTAATTTTTGTGTTCCTAGTGGAGGTGAGGTTTCACCATGTTGGCTGGGCTGGTCTCAAACTCCTGACCTCAAGTGATCCGCCTGCCTCGGCCTCCCAAAGTGTTGGGATTGCAGGTGTGAGCCACCACACCCAGCCCTTTTTCTTTTTTTTTTTTTGAGACAGAGTCCCAGTCTGTTGCCCATGCTGGAGTGCAATGGTGTGATCTCGGCTCAGTGCCAACCTCTTCCTCCTGGGTTCAAGTGATTCTCATGCCTCAGCCTCCCGAGTAGCTGGGACTACAGGTGCCCATCACCAGTCCGGCTAATTTTTTTCTAATTTTAGTAGAGATGAGGTTTCACCATGTTGGCCAGGCTGGTCTCGAACTCCTGACTTCAAGTGATCTGCCTGCCTTGGCCTCCAAAGTTCTGGCATTACAGTCATGAGCCAACGCGCCCTGCCAACTTTTTAAAACATTTAACCATCAGAGTCGAGGGTCTCATTTGATACGATGGTTGAAAGAGACAAGGCATAAAAGATATTCAAGACTCACTGGAGACGCTGGAGTTTGACTGAAGTTTTTTATTTTATTTATTTATTTTGAGACAGAGTCTCACTCTATTGCCCAGTCATCTCCTAGTCTGGTAGTTATCACCTAGAAAGTAAGCTCCTCTACATGCAAAAAGTCACTGAATAAAGTTAAACAGAAAAAAGGCAAATAAGTAATTTCAATGCAGAGTGGGTTTGAAGTTTTCTCCCTAAAAAGTTCTACCTTGCTACCCTTCCTAGTTTTATCACAAACATGTAGCTCTAGGGCTGCTACACTCTTGTAAAGTACCTAAAATAAAGATGAGATGGAATTTTGGTGCCAAATGCTTAGTATCTGCAACTGCAAAACTGGGACTAATCCCAAGAGCACACAGGATGATGATGATATTAAGGTCTAAGTAATAATACTCAGACCAAGTGACAAAGGAGGAGAATCAGGATACAAAACCTACTCTCTTCCTTGTGTAAAGTTTTGCCCCTATGGCACACATCAGAGATCCAATCTACCAAGGAGCAGAAGAGAAAAACATCATGTATATTTTATATCAAAAAAGAAAAAACATATATCTATATGTATGTATGTAATTTTTTTTCCTTGGAGACAGGGTCTCACTCTGTCACCCTGGCTAGAGTGCAGTGGTGCAATTTCTGCTTATGCAGCCTCTACCTCCCAGGCTCAAGTGATGCTCCCACTTCAGTCACCTGAGTAGTTGGGACTACAGGTGTGTACCACCATGCCCAGCTGATTTTGCTTTTTTTATTATTTGCTTTTATTATTATTATTTGTAGCTATGAGGTCTTACTATGTTGCCCAGGCTGGTCTCAAACTCTTGGGTTCAAAGTGATCCTCCTGCCTCAGCCTCCCAAAATCCTGGGATTATAGGCATGAGCCACCACACCCAGCCAAGTAAATTATCTAGAGAACTTTACCAAAGTTGTTTAACACCAAGCTTGGTCCACAAACCCAGTGCAGAGCAGAATGGCGTATAAGGAACCAGATATCATCTGCTAAGGCTTGACTGCTCGACCCAAGGATCTGCCAATGGAGAAATCATCTACTGAGAAAGTCCATGAAACTGATGAGATGACGAGCATTTAACTGTTCAACTCATAATCAAGCCTTTTCTTCAGAAGAGGAAGAAACAGAAAGAAGAGGAAGAAGGGAGAGAGAAGAGAAGGACCAGAGGGGGAAAAAAAAGAAAACCAACTCAGCATGGCAACACCTGGCTTGGTAATGCCAGCCAGCCTATTTTATTTTAATTTCTAATTTTTTAGAGACAGGCTCTCACTATGTTGCACAGGCTGGAGTGCAGTGACTATTTACATGTGCACTCATAGCTCACGACAGCCTCAAGCTCCTGGATTCAAGAGATCCTCTCACCTCAGCCTCCTGAGTAGCTGGGACTATCAGCCTGCACAACTGCACCTGGCTGTTAGCCATACAATTTTTTTTTTTTTTTTTTAAAAACAGAGTCTTGCTTTGTCACCTAGGCTGGAGTACAGTGGTGCAATCTTGGCTCATTGCAACCTCTGCCTCCCAGGTTCAAGCGATTCTCCTGCCTCAGCTTCCCAAGTAGCTGAGACTACAGGTGCATGCCACCAAGCCCCACTAGTTTTTTGTATTTTTAGTAGAGACAGGGATTCACCACATTAGCCAGGATGGTCTCGATCTCCTGATCTTATGATCTGCCGACCTTGGCCTCCCAAAGCGCTGGGATTACAGGCGGGAGACACCACACCCAGCCAGTCAGCCAATTTTTCAAGAGAATGAGATTCATCCCTATGGATAAGACCAGAATACTGTTCAACAGAAAATGTTTTCTAGTGTCTTTGTGAGAAACACTGTAGGTATATATTATCATTTTGTAATTCATACTCATGATTTATATATATTTTTTTGGGGTGGGTAAACAGCATTAAAATTTACTCTTCTCTAAAAGAATATCTTTTGTCTGAGAATCTTGAGACCTGCATCTCCACATCTAAGGCAAAACTCTCAAAGAGCATTATTCAAATGTCTTTTATCATCAGTCCACACTTGGAAGTGTGGCATGTGCTGTAAGAGGGGAGAGCCTATTACCCAAGGGTGGGTATACAGGCTGATAGTTTGGCTATAAATGCTACAGAGAAGGTCCTATGCCATCTTCAATTTTAATACACCTCAGCCCCAGTTTAATGCCAAATTATTCCTGCTTTTTCTCCATCACTCAGGCATCTCCACATTCTCTCATTTCTCTTTAACACTGACATTTGTAGAAAGGTTATTTCTCTCCTATGGCTGAACAACTTAAGTTTGATAAACACTTTGGAAGCTTATAAATGTATTTCATTTGGCCCTCAAAAAATACTACAGGGTTTGGGAACTATTTTAATTAAGGACTTAAGAGAGAAATAACAAAATGTGTGAAACTTGCTTGGGTGCTGACTAGAAAAAAGGAATCGTAAAAAGACGTTTCTGAGAAGAGAGTCTTAAAAAGAAAAGTTAAATAATTATTAATTGTATAGATGTGACAATATTACTGCAGTTATACTCTCCCATCCTCACCTCTAAAAGATTCCTTATGTGTATTAATAGGTTCTGAAGCATTTAGGGTTGAAATCACGTGAGGACTGGACTTCCTTTAAAATATTCCAGCGAGGTAGAAGTAGAAAAATAGAGAAATATAGATGCAGGAAGACTGGCAAAATGCTGCTATCAAAGCTAGGTGATAGGCCAGGCGTGGTGGCTCACACCTGTAATCCTGGCACTTTAGGAGGCCACAGCAGGTGGATCACTTGAGGTCAGGAGTTCTAGACCAGCCTGGCCAACATGGCGAAACCCTGCCTCCACTAAAAATACAAAAATTAGCCAGGTGTGGTGGGCGCCTGTAATCCCAGCTACTTGAGGGGCTGATGCAGGAGAATCGCTTGAACCCGGGGTGGGCAGAGGTTGCAGTGAGCTGAGATCATGCCATATCACTCTAGCCTGGGCAAAAGAGCAAAATTCCATCTTAAAAAAAAAAAAAAAGCTAGGTAATAAGTATATAAAGGATAATTATACTATTCTCTCTACTTCATCTACATTTGAAGAATGGTATAAATTAAAGGAAGAAAGCAAATCTGGATAATGGGATGTCTTGATCTGAGTTAGCTTTTTTAATTTTTAAAGTAGAGACAGCAGGCTGGGCACAGTGGCTCACGCCTGTAATCCCAGCACTTTGGGAGGCTGAGGCGGGTAGATCACGAGGTCAGGAGATCACTACTACCCTGGCTAACATGGTGAAACCTGGTCTCTATTAAAAATACAAAAATTTAGTCAGACGTGGTGGGACACACCTGCAATCCCAGCTACTTGGGAAGCTGAGGCAGAAGAATTGCTTGAACCTGGGAGGCAGAGGTTGCAGTGAGCCGAGATCGCGCCACTGCACTCCAAGCTGGGTGACAGAGTGAGACTCCATCTCAAAAAATAAATAAATAAAGACAGGCACTAAGCACAGTGGCTCACACCTATAATCCCAGCACTCTGGGAGGCAAAGATGGGAGGATTACTTGAGCCCAGGAGTTTGAGACCAGCCTGGGCAACATAGGGAGATCCCATCTCAGCAAAGAAAAACAAAAAAAGGAAAGAATATATAAAGACAGGGTTTTGGCCTGGCTCGGTGATTCACACCTGTAATCCCAGCACTTTGGGAGACTGAGGCATATGGATCACAAGGGCAGGCGATTGAGACCACCCTGGCCAACATGGTGAAACCCCATCTCTACTAAAAATACAAAAATTAGCTGGGTGTGGTGGCACACACCTGTAGTCCCAGCTTCTCGGGAGACTTGAGGTGATCCTTCCATCTCAGCCTCCCAAAGTACTGGGATTAAAAGCATGATCCGGCTGGGTGCGGTGACTCATGCCTGTAATCTCAGCACTTTGGAAGGCCAAGGTGGGTGGATCACCTGAGGTCAGGAGTTAGAGACCAGTCTGGCCAACATGGAGAGACCCCGTCTTTACTAAAAATACAAAAATTAGTCAGCGTGGTGATAGGCGCCTGTAATCCCAGCTATTCAGGAGGCTGA